AAAATGTTGCTCAAAAAATGCCTTAAGGGCAAAGGAAGCGGGGCGCCCGGGAGAACTGTTTTACTAATTTCAAGAAATTGAGCAAAATGGCGGCTTCCGGTTTCATAGAAATTGGAAAATTCTGTCAAATACCCATCAATATGGGTATTTTTGGAATCGGGGTGATGTCCAGAGGCCGAAAATTGATATCCGACGCCATTTTGAAATCCAAAATGGTGGCCTCCGGTTTATTTAAAAAGTGGGAAATACTTGCAAATACCCATCAATATGGGTATTTTTGGAATCAAGGTGATGTCCAGAGGCCGAAAATTGATATCCGACGCCATTTTGAAATCCAAAATGGCGGCTTCCGGTTTCATAAAAAGTTGGAAATACTGACAAATCCCATCAATATGGGTATTTTTGAAATCGGGGTGATGTCCAGAGGCCGAAAATTGATATCCGACACCATTTTTAAATAAAAAATGGCGGCTTCTGGTTTCATGAAAAGTGGATAATACTGTCAAATACTCATCTATATGGGTATTTTTGAAATCGGTGTTATGTCCAGAGGCCCAAAATTGATATCCGACGCCATTTTGAAATCCAAAATGGCTGCTTCCGGTTTTATATAAAATTGAAAATACTGTCAATACCCATCAATATGGACATTTTAGGAATCTGGGTGATGTTCAAAGGCCGGAAAATGATATCCTATGCCGTTTTGGTATTCAAGATGATGGCCATTGGGTTTAAAATAAGTAGCCAATTCCCTTAAATATTGGTTATTTCGGAACGAGGATGACGTATAGCTGCCGAAAACTGATGTCTCATGTCATTTAGGAATCCAATATGGTGACTATATCGTATAATATTTAACATATTTTATAAAAAAGGTGGCCACCATATTACATTTCAAAATGGCGTTGGAAATCGATTTTAGGTCTTCATGCCTTACCCGATTGCCACTAAAACCCATATTTTAAGGTATTTCACTGGTTTTTAAAACCAATGGCCACCATCTTGGATTCCAGTTAGGTGTCGGACATTGATTTTCAGCCTCAACACGTCGTCTTCTATCCGAAAGTAGCCATATTGTAGGGTATTTGAAACTCTGTTTGAAACTAATGGCTTTCTTGGAATTCAAAATGGTGTCAGACATTGATTTTCGGCATCTACATGTCGTCCCCGTTCCAAAAATACTCATATTGCAGGGTATTTGCCACTTTTTCTGAACCCGATGGTTGCCACGTTGGATTCCAAAATGGTGTACGGCATCGATTTTCGGCTTTTACCGGCCGTCCCCGTTCTGAAAATAGCGATATTGTAGAGTATTTGACACTTATTCTGAACCCATTGGCCACCGTATTGGATTCCAAAAAGGCGTCGAACATTAATTTTCGGCACTTACACGTCATCCCAGTTCCGAAAATACCCATATTGTAAGGTATTTGACACTTCTTCTGTAACCGGAAGCCACCATATTAGATTTCAATATGACATCGGACATCGATTTCCGGCATCTAGATATCACCCCGATTATAAAAGTATCCATATTGTGAGGTATTTGACACTTTTTCTTAATCCGAGTTCCGCCATGTTGGATTTCAAAATGGCATCGGGTATCGATCTTCGGCATCTACACGTCATCCCCGTTCTGAAAATATCCATATTGTAAGGTATTTGCCACTTTTTCTTAACCTAATGGCCGCCATCTTGGATTCTAAGATAGTATCATACATCATCACAATGGTGTCAGATATCAATATCCGGCCTCTGGACATCACCCCGACTCCTAAAATACCAATATTGATGGGTAGTTGACAGTATTTTACATCTTCTATCAAACCGGAAGCAGCCATTTTGGATTTCAAAATGGCGTCAAATACCAATTTTTGGACTCTGGACATCACCCCAATTCCAAAAATACCCATATTGGTGGGTATTTGACAGTATTTCCCACTTTCTATGAAACTGTAAGCGTTGGATGTCATTTTCCGGCCTTTGGACATCATCCCGATTCTAAAAATACCCATTTTTAGGAGTTCATATTTGATATCAAACATCCCTATTCTAAACATAAACTGCTCGGAGTACTCCGGATACTATCCGGAGGGAAAAATAATGGATAATATCCAAGTTAAATTATCCAGATAATTTTAACTTGGATATTATCCGGAGGGAAATAAATGTGGATAGGGATAGACTCCGTTTATTTCTATCCACTGGATAGGTCTATCCGGATAATTATATTATCCAGGCCTATTTCTTTACGATTTTTTGCAGTTTTAAAGCAAACCGGAAGTTGCCATCTTGGATTTCAACATGGGGCGAAACATGCATTTCCGGCTTCTATATGTCATACCGTTCCGGAAACTCCCATATTGAATGGTATTTGACGAGTTTTCGCAGCTTTTCAGCAAACTGGAAGTCACCATATTGGAAGTCAAAATGACGCCAAACATGCATTTCCGGCTTCTAGATGTCATGCAGGCTCCGGAAATACCCATATCTTATTATACTTGGAGAAAAACCCTATAAAAAAGCTATAAAATTGTCTCGGTTGATAAGGCGCGAAAAAAAGACCAAACCACCCCTCGCCTCTAAATACTACGTAACTTTTGAATGACCCCTTACGAAAACAAGAATATGATGGAAAATAATTCTCTATTCTGCATAACTCGAGAACTAATCAAGCAAATGGAACCAAATTTGGCATGTGAAGGTATAAGGAGATGGTCATAGGGGGTAGCGCCTTAGATAAGAGGGGGGGGGCTACTTACAATAAAGCAACTCAATCTTATATGCAATTCCGAGCAAGGCCGGGCACACTCAGCTAGTTTCATATTTTATGGCATTTACAATGATATCTTATGATCAGGAAAGACAAGCTATTTTGAAATACATCAAATTCTAAGACTGCATTGGGAATCGAACCAACATGGTCTTGCTCTATTTCTGGAACTTATTACCGAATGAGATCAGTCCTTAGATAACAATACTTTTTCGGATAAGAACAGTCAAACGCTTGTGTTCATTCTGCTGTTTTGGATATGTGTATGTAATTGGTTCATTCTTGCGAACGGTTCATCCAAAAAATTCAAATCGGACGTTGTTATGCGGGTGGTCGACTTCCTTTGCCCTTAAAGGCAGCGTTCTTCAAGCGTCAGGATTTTTTCGTGTTCAACCTTTAGTACATATTTCCCATCAAATCGATTCGCTCATAACACCACCAGGCATTTTGGATAACTAACAAATATCTGCAATCACCAAACTACCCAGTCCATTTCCGTTCCGAAATTATTAGCAAAATTTACGACCAGTAAAATATTGACTCTCACCCTCTGACGACGCTTATCGCTCGAAACCAGTTTATTTCCAATAAATTTCCGGCTTTAAACCCCTCGCAAACACAATTCACTTCCGGCAGACCAGGCACTCGTTTACTCTTCGCCCTACGTCTCTCGACAGCCATTACCGCAGGGAAGGGGACATCATGAGTGTCACTTTCGCCACAAATTATAATGTCTTACAGTTTCCATACTTTATTGCCTTTGCATACATTCCAGTGAACTCAGTCTCTGTAGGTACATACAGACCGACGCATACAACCATTGCACACTTTTGCCTCGGATGACTTCCTGTATAAAGTCTCGATCCTCATCTGACACACACACACACAAACTGGCTGGCTACACCTACTCCACTGAGCTACTAAAATCCATGAAAAAGCCGGCAGTAACACCAACTTCATCGTCGTCGTCCTTGTCATCCTCGTGGTCCATGCAATAAACTTGTCGTCTGGCTTTCCGACTTTTCTGCAGCAATTCTGCCTTTTCAGCCGGCCACCCCCTGCTTCGTTTGCGAACTTCCAGCACGGGATTTCATAGTCTGGTTCAAAATTAAAATTTATTAATATTGAGATGTCATAATTTTATATTACGATCCAGAAAGAAATCAAATTTATACCCATGGTCTGCTGTACTCTGTTAATGGTATCGTTTCTAACCTACTGCCGGGTGCCACTCCATGCTTTATATAGCGAGGCTGTAGAGGCTTTGTACCACTTTTGAAACTGCCGGGACGAAAGACCTAGTTCAGGATATTTGTTTTGCTGCTATTTACCTGCCTGCTGGCTGGATCTCTCAGTCAGTCAGTCAGGATGGAGAAGGCGCAATTACAGCGCAGATATGAGGTTTTTTGATTGTGTTCAGTTGTCAGCCGTCGTCTCGTTCACCGGTTGCGTTCGTAGGACTATGTGGTAAGCACCATCACAGTCAGTGGAGATTGATGCTGCAGGTTGGTGTGTAAACAGCATCGGTGCCAGATACAGAAGTTTATAGTCGTTAAAAAGTTGAGACCCCCCTATTAATTTTAATAAACATGCTCTTTTCAGATACCGTCCAAGAATAGACTATTTTTTACATTCAACAGTTTCTCAATTGATGTAGCAGTCGCAACGTTTTTTCGAATAGAAATGTCTGTATCAGGCACCGATGGTAAACAGTCTAGCAACATGATACAGGATAAATGGTATGCCTTTTCGGTTTGGAGTTTTGTTGCGGATGAAATCTACGGAAAGCTGCACAAATATTTAACTGCGAAAGAGTACACATTCATGGATGTGAAGTTTTGGTTCACGAGGAAAATATGTATGACTAGTGAAATGTTTTAAGAATTGTTTCAGCTCTAAACATTGATTGAAAATTTGACTTGCATTAATTTGCGTTTGACCATCTATTCAGTGGGTAAGGCTAACAAATAGTGAATCCACGGTTCGGTTTGTGCAGTTTTTATCTCCCAGATTAGCATCACTGTAAAAGGGGTTTATTGCTCAAATGTTTGCTCCATTGTTAGTGCCCACCAGCCCAGAATCCTCACTCGAAAAAAACAACCCCCACAAACCAGCCATTGTTAACGAAGGGCAGCTATAAGTTCAAATCCTAAACAACGAACGAACATTCATAACCTCACTAAATTCTACTCTTTCCTGTTTTCCACCCCCCATTCTCATTTTGCAGACCACTACAACTACTGGGGCCTGATCCTGGTGCTGTTTCCGATCCTGACGCTCTTCGGCAATGTGCTCGTGATACTGGCCGTGTGCCGGGAGCGGACTTTACAGACGGTGACCAACTATTTCATAGTGTCGCTCGCGTTGGCCGACCTGCTCGTGGCGGTGGTGGTGATGCCGTTCGCCGTCTATGTACTGGTAAGTACCTTATCCAGTTTCTAGGTGGGGGGGTCTGAACCCGATGTAGGTATTTCCGTTACAGCCAAAAGAGCAGCAAAACAGCCGGAAAGAATGGTGCTACGAGCGCTTCTTGTAGGTAGTAACCTAACTAGAAAAGACGCTGACGAAAAAGTTGTGGCCGCTTAAGGGATGGTGCTTCACTGAAAATATTGTGACTTTCTGGGAATGGAATAAAAAAATGTTGGGATAAAGAGGTAGAAAAAGAATGTGGTACCGTATGGATTTTAGGAATGTATGGTTTTAAGCGTGGGATTTTGAGTTCGAAAGTGTACCAGCCGTATGTCATATGGGGTTTTGTTATTGAGGAAAGTTTTATTTTAAATATGACTTACAAATATACAAGCTAGAATCATGATTCTAACACGTTCAACTTTATTCTGGGTCATCGTTCTCGAAGTTAATGTTCAATTTAAATATAATTATTTTCCCAAATTACCTACCATCGGATACTACTATCTCTTTGTCTTGTATGCAACATTAATTGCGACTTAAAAATCAAGCTGATACTGAGTTCCTTGCAGGGATAGATGATAGTGGTTTACCAGCTATTGTAGTACGGAAACTAAGTCCGATAACAGTTGGCTCTCTTCTCTCCCAAGTAACATTTTAAGTTTTTTGAAGTAATACAAAGCAACTATATAACAACATTCATAAAACCCTGGTCAAGGCTACTTTGCCATTGATACATCCACCAAAACCTCATTAAGAATAGAATCTGTCTAGTTGGCCCATCCTGGAGAAGGTTCTGTAGGGTATATTTTCGAACCTCTTCAAGATTGAATTGCTGCAAAAAGGTTGTATTACGAACGTATTGAGAACCATTTGAAACCCGTATTTAAGCTGCACTAAAAGCTATTTGGCAACAATTTTTTTTTTAACTCTTTAATTGTTGCAAATTCAAAATAAATTACACTTCATTTTAACCTAGGTGCTCCAGTTACTGCAGTAACGTACCAGCCTTAATTGTTATGATATATCTAAGTGTTTTTACATTGTTCATGTCTTGGCAATTCAGTATTTTAAACAGGTTTTTTAACCTGCATGTTAGTATAACAATTGATATCTTAAAACTTAAAACTAAAACTAAATCTTATCTAAGTATAAAGGGAATTAATCATTGCAATTGAGGATTGCAACGATTTTTGCATGAAATTATTAATTATTTTGTTGGACATTTGTTCTAAAGTCTCAACATTCGAAATTCTATGTACTTCGGTAGTACTGTACCAGGAAGGCAACTTCAAAATCATTTTCAGAACTTTGTTATGAATCCTTTGAAGTGCTTTTTTCCTGGTAGTGCAGCAACAAGACCATATTGGCACAGCGTAAAGCATGGCCGGTCTAAAAACTTGTTTAAATATTAGAAGTTTATTCGTCAGGCAAAGTTTGGATTTCCTGTTTATAAGAGGATACAAACATTTTATATGCTTGTTATATTTGGCTTGAATGCCCTCAATGTGATCTTTAAATGTTAATTTTTGGTCAAGATATTTCACTTGGTTTGACCAGGAAATTGGAACTCCGTTCATAGTGACTATGTGACTACTACTAGGTTTCAAAAATGAAGCTCTATTATAAGTTTAGTTTTGGGAGCGTTGGGAGAAATCTTCCATTTTTGTAAATAAGAAGAGAAAATATCTAAACTTTTCTGCAGTCTGCTGCAAATAACACGAAGACTTCTTCCTTCAGCGGAAATGCCTGTGTCATAAGCGAACAAAGATTTGTGGCAACCCTGAGGCAAATCAGGGAGGTCCGAAATGAAAATGTTATACAATATAGGCCCAAGAATGCTACCCTGAGGAACTCCTGCTCTAACAAGTAGTCGATCAGATTTGGAATTTTGATAATTTACCTGCAGAATTAATTAATTCTGAACTAATTTCATGATATAATGTGGAAAATTAAACTTTTTCAATTTAGCAATCAAACCTTCATGCCAAACACTGTCGAATGCTTTTTCTATGTCTAGAAGAGCAACTCCAGTTGAGTGGCCTTCCGATTTGTTTGAACGAATTAAATTGGTAACTCTCAAGAGTTGATGAGTAGTTGAATGCCCATGGCGAAATCCAAACTGCTCATCTGCAAAAATTGAGTTCGTATTGATGTGAAGCATCATTCTATTCAAAATTATCTTTTCAAAAAGTTTACTTATTGAAGAAAGCAAACTTATTGGGCGGTAGCTAGAAGCTTCAGCTGGATTTTTATCCGGCTTCAAAATTGGAACAACTTTTGCATTTTTCCATTTATCAGGAAAGTATGCCGAATGGAAACATCTGTTAAATAATTTTACCAAGAAAGACAAGGTACTCTCTGGGAGTTTTTTTATGAGGATATAGAAAATTCCATCATCACCTGGAACTTTCATATTTTGAAACTTTTTAGTTATAGACCTTACTTCGTCCAAATCAGTCCCCCAGGAATCATCAAAAATATTTTCCCGAGAGAAAATATTCAGAAAATCCCGAGCAACCTGATTCTCAATAGGACTAGTAAGACCCAAACTGAAATTATGGGAACTCTCGAATTGCTTAGCAAGTTTCTGAGCTTTTTCCAAATTTGTGATCAAAATTTTACCACCTTCTTTAAGCGCTGGAATAGGCTTTTGAGGTTTTTTCAAAATTTTTGTGAGTTTCCAAAAGGGTTTGGAACCCCAGTCTAAATGAGAAACATTATTTTCAAAAGTTTTGTTCCTCAGGGCAGATAATCGCTTTTTAATTTGTTTTTGCAAATCCCGCCATATAAATTTCATGGCAGGATCGCTTGTTCTTCGACATTGTCTCCTACGGACATTTTTAAGACGGATCAAGAGCTGAAGATCATCGTCTATTATAATTGCATCGAATTTAACCTCGCATTTTGGTATTGAGGCAGCTCTTGCTTCAACTATAGAAGTAGTCAGAGATTCAAGAGCATAATTAATTTCATCTTTGGTTTGCAAAGGAATGTTTGGATCGAAGTTATATTCCATAAATGTTCGATACTGCTCCCAATCAGCTCTATGGTAATTGAAAGTAGAGTTGTTGGGATTACAAATTATTTCTTGGGATATTTCAAAAGTTACTGGAAGGTGATCAGAGCCGAAGTCAGCGTGGGTAACCAGTTGGCTACAAAGTTGACATGAATCAGTTAAGACCAAATCAATAATGGAGATATTTCTTGCAGAAGAAAAGCATGTTGGGCTGTTTCGATATTGAATAGTGTAATAACCTGCAGAACAATCATCAAACAGAATATTACCATTGGAATTGCTTTGAGCATTATTCCATGAGCGGTGTTTTGCATTAACATCACAAATAATGAAGAATTTAGACCTATGACGGGTCTATGAAGGTCACCCTTGAGCAAATTATTTTGCTGTGTACGCATTGGAATGGCAAATAGGCAGCTATAAACGTAAGTTGTCAAAATTTTGTTTCAACAGAAACTCCCAAAGTTTCAAAAAACTTTGGTTTCAAATGAAGAAAGAATTTTATGTTTGATTCGTCTATAAACAATGATGGCAACGCCACCACAGGGTCCATCAAGACGATCATTTCTATATATCAAATAATTTGCGTCCTTCTTAACCTTATGGTCAGGTTTAAGGAACGTTTCAGTTATAACGGCAATATGCACGTTATGAACTCTCAAAAAGTTAAATAGCTCGTCTTCATTTTCTTTAAGAGATCGAGGATTCCAATTTAAAATATTTAATGCTTTAAAATCCATTACTGAATTTTAAAGTCATGACAATATTATTTGCAAATTTTACTCCAGTTTGAATAGCATCAAACATGGAATTAGAAATAAGCATATCAGAAATCATGTCAATTAATGATTTCTGTAAAATTCCATTTTAGGGGCAGTAATGCTTCCTAAGTCAAAATTGTCAAAATTTCCGTTAGAATTACTTTGGTTAGTATTTTGATTTCTACCCGTTGCAATAGCAGCATAGGTACCTCCATTAACTCGCTGAACATTGTTAGCAGCGAGAGAAGTAGGTACAGATGAAACATTTGAAGCAGGGGTAATATTTGTACCTACGGGTACGAATGTAGAATTTGTTCCTCGCTGACCGTTGTTAACAGCAGAGTAATTTGTACCTGGTCGGAAACGTGGAGCGTTTCCTACCGTCGTCTAGAACGAGATTGTAGGATCGCTTTGCGAGTCTTACATTCCCAAAAATTGGATTTGTGGTTTTCACCACAATTTAAACATTTAAATTTCTTAGGATCTTCCTTCACAGGACAGTCGTCCTTTGCGCGAGAGGAATCACCACAATTCATGCATTTAGCTGGCATGTAGCAATTTTTAGTTCCGTGACCCCATCCCTGGCACTTACGGCACTGAGTGAGGTTTTGGAAATTTCCTCCAGTCTTCCTGAAGTATTCCCACTTCAGTCGGACATGGAGCATAAGGTTAGCTTTTTCCAAGGCCTTAAGGTTGTTTAGTTCACTAGACTTGAAGTGAACTAAATAAAAATCATTAGAAATCCCGTTACGCGAATCGCCAGGACGGGATTTAATTTTCATTTTGATTACTTGGAGTGGCACAACTCCAAGTAATTTTGCCAGTTCATCTTTGATCTGATCCAGGGATTCACCACTGGGCAGGCTTTTCATGACAACCTTGAACACACGTTCAGTTTTGGTGTCGTAAGTAAAAAAATTGTGATGCTTCTCAGTAAGATACTTGAGAAGACATTTAAATCCGTCCAAGGTTTCAGCCAATACACGGCATTCACCCCGACGTCCAATTTGTAGAGAAAACTTAACTTTCACAAAGTTCAAAAGTTCCATGCGAAGGAATGGAAATCGGAAGTGGTTATCACAATAGGGGGAATCTTTTCCTTCTTGGCATTAAGCCGGGAAAGTTTACTAGAATTTTTCTTGGATGATGGATCATTCTCATCATCCGTGAGCAAATCAAATTGATTACTCAAATTAATTTCATCAGAAGGGGGGTCAAGAGTTTGCCCCTTTCTTTTGCGTTTAGGCGCCATGGCGGCAGTAAATTTTTATCCAAATCGACTTCCAAGCAGATTACTATAAGAATCTGAAGGATCGAAGAGGAATTTTCCAAATCGATATCCCAGAA